ACTGAACAGGGTAACAATCAAGTCATGTTATCCCATCCCCCGTGCATACGAACTCATCGATCAACTACGAACAGCTAGGTTTATTTTTTTAATTGACTTACTGTTGAAATGTATTCGAATACATTTATAATGCCTATAGTAGAGCCTAGTGTTGTTATCTTAGTTTCCTGCTTAGTGGTGTACCATTTGCCTATTTCCTTGACTATATCTTGTATGCCCTCAATTATTCAATCCTCTTTGGCTGTTCTCTCTCGACATGTTCCTCTCGTCATTCTCGTCCTGCCCCAAAACCCTAGCCCTAACTTACACTACTATTCTGACATGGTATTAGAGTCGTTACGACCCTTGGGCCCACCACCTGCTACCCTGCGCGCCGCCCTCGTGCGGCCTCCTCTCGACCTTTGGCACGGCCCGTCGCCCGTAGCCCCTAGGCCCCGGCCCGTCGCCCCGCGCTTCGTCGCCCCTAGCTCTCGGCCCCGACCCGTCGCTCGCGCCCGTCGCCCCTAGGCCCGTCGCCCCTCGGCCCGTCGCCCCTAGGCCCCGGCCCCGTCGCCCGTCGCTCGCGCCCGACGCCCCTAGGCCCCAGTCCCGCCCGTCGCCCGTCGCGCGTCGCCCCTACACCCGTCGCCCCTAGACTCCGGCCCCCGGCCCGTCGCTCGCGCCTGCCGCCCCTAGGCCCGTCGGCCCCGTCGCGCGTCGCTTCCCTAGGCCCAGCCCGTCGCCCCACGCCCCTAGGCCCGTCGGCCCCGTCACCCGTCGCTCACCTAGGCCCGGCCCCGTCACTCGACGCCCCTAGGCCCCAGCCCCTAGCCCGTCGCCCCTCGGCCCGTCGCCCCTAGGCCCCGGCCCCGGCCCGTCGCCTGTCGCCCGTTGCCCCTCGGCCCGTTGCCACGGCCCTTCGCCCCTAGGCCCGTCGTCCCTAGGCCGGCCCGTCGCCCCAAGCACGGCCCGTAGGCCCGTTGCTCCTAGCCCGGCCCGTCGCCCCTAGCCCACGCGCCCCGGCCCGTCGCCCGACGCCCCTACGCCCGCGACTGACGCCCCTCCGCCCCCCCCTTCTCCTCCATCCCCCTGCTGCGGGTGCAGCAGTGGGGGGGGGGGGGGGGGGGGGTATGGGGGTGGTGGGCTCTTGGAGGGTAAGGGGGTGGCCGGAATGGATCTGCAGCACCAGCCCCCCCGCCCCCCTTTCTCCTCCATTCCCCTGCTGCGGGTGCAGCAGTGGGGGGAGGGGATCTGCAGCACCAGCCCCCCCCCCGCCCCCCCCCTTCTCCTCCATCCCCCTGCTGCGGGTGCAGCAGTGGGGGGGAGGGGATCTGCAGCACCAGCCCCCCCGCCCCCCCCTTCTCCTCCATCCCTCTGCTGCGGGTGCAGCAATGGGGGGAGGGGATTTGCAGCACCAGCCCCCCCGCCCCCCCCCTTCTCCTCCATCCCCCTGCTGCGGGTGCAGCAGTGAGGGGGAGGGTATGGGGGTGGCGGTGTGAGTAAACTGCTGCCGCCTCTCCTCCTCTCTCTCCCACTGCTGCACATGCCGCTGTGGGGGGGGGGGGGGAGGGTGTGGGGGAGTTGAGGGAGTGGCAGTAGGGATGCTGAGGGGTGTGACAAGGAGGTTTTGGGGAATGGGGGAATTTGTAGGGGGGTGGGCGCAGTGAAGCCAGCAGCTCCAGTCGCCCGTGAGACCGTTGCACCAGTTGCCCGTGAGCCTGTTGCTCCTGTAGCCCGTGAGTCAGTTGCTCCTGCCGCTCGCTTAGCCGCGGAGCCAGTTACTCCAGTTGCCCGTGTGCCAGTTGCTCCATTTGCCAGTGTGCCAGTTGCTCCAGTTGCCCGAGTGCCAGCAGCTTCAGCCGCCACCCACCACCCCCTCTCCTCTCATGGTCCCTCCTCCTCTTCACTTGCCCTCTCCTTCCTTCGCTGCGCCTGGTGTACCACTTCAGGGGGTGTCCTTGTACTGGTTCCTGCAGCTAACAGTTTAGGGGGTGTGTTAAACTTATGTTTATTATATAAACTGTTTGCTGTAGTTACTGTACTGTTTGAGGTATTTCCTGTAGGTGATGCACCTCTCTTGTTTCCTATATGTTTCCAACTTCCTATAGTGAAACCCCTCACTTTCTCGATTTTCTCCTTTGCATGAACTCTCTCGACATCCTTGGCTAGCCATGGCTCCTACTATCTTGACATGGTATTAGAGTGCGGTTCTACCTAGGACCTAATCTCAATGGGCCCACCAATCCCACCATCTCATATGGCGGCCTATTTTTCTGCACCGTTTCGTCACCCTGCGGCCCCCTGTCGCTCCTCGTTGTTTCGTCGCCCCGCGGCCCCGTCGCCCGCGGCCTCGCCTGCACCGTCGCCAGCCCCGCGCACGCTCGTCGCGCCGCCCTTGCGCCTGCCCGTCGACTGCGCCACCGTCTGCCCGACGTGCTGCACCCGCGACCCCCTGGCCAGCTCAAAGCTTCCCCCCCACGCCCCACTCGTCACGCCCCAGCATGTTACCCCACCCGCCCTCCTGTCGGCCCCGCTGTTGCTGCCGAGTTTCCTCCTGCCGTGGGGGGGGAGGGGGGTGAGTTGGGGGTGGTGGCCGTGAGTGGGGGTGACGGGGGTGGATGCAGCTGCGGCTCCCGCCAGTTATGCTGCTCGTGCAACCGAGGAGGGGGAGCCCCTCCCCCTCCTCGGTTGCACGAGCAGCATAACTGGCGGGAGCCGCAGCTGCATCCACCCCCGTCACCCCCACTCACGGCCACCACCCCCAACTCACCCCCCTCCCCCCCCACGGCAGGAGGAAACTCGGCAGCAACAGCGGGGCCGACAGGAGGGCGGGTGGGGTAACATGCTGGGGCGTGACGAGTGGGGCGTGGGGGGGAAGCTTTGAGCTGGCCAGGGGGTCGCGGGTGCAGCACGTCGGGCAGACGGTGGCGCAGTCGACGGGCAGGCGCAAGGGCGGCGCGACGAGCGTGCGCGGGGCTGGCGACGGTGCAGGCGAGGCCGCGGGCGACGGGGCCGCGGGGCGACGAAACAACGAGGAGCGACAGGGGGGCCGCAGGGTGACGAAACGGTGCAGAAAAATAGGCCGCCATATGAGATGGTGGGATTGGTGGGCCCATTGAGATTAGGTCCTAGGTAGAACCGCACTCTAATACCATGTCAAGATAGTAGGAGCCATGGCTAGCCAAGGATGTCGAGAGAGTTCATGCAAAGGAGAAAATCGAGAAAGTGAGGGGTTTCACTATAGGAAGTTGGAAACATATAGGAAACAAGAGAGGTGCATCACCTACAGGAAATACCTCAAACAGTACAGTAACTACAGCAAACAGTTTATATAATAAACATAAGTTTAACACACCCCCTAAACTGTTAGCTGCAGGAACCAGTACAAGGACACCCCCTGAAGTGGTACACCAGGCGCAGCGAAGGAAGGAGAGGGCAAGTGAAGAGGAGGAGGGACCATGAGAGGAGAGGGGGTGGTGGGTGGCGGCTGAAGCTGCTGGCACTCGGGCAACTGGAGCAACTGGCACACTGGCAAATGGAGCAACTGGCACACGGCAACTGGAGTAACTGGCTCCGCGGCTAAGCGAGCGGCAGGAGCAACTGACTCACGGGCTACAGGAGCAACAGGCTCACGGGCAACTGGTGCAACGGTCTCACGGGCGACTGGAGCTGCTGGCTTCACTGCGCCCACCCCCCTACAAATTCCCCCATTCCCCAAAACCTCCTTGTCACACCCCTCAGCATCCCTACTGCCACTCCCTCAACTCCCCCACACCCTCCCCCCCCCCCCCACAGCGGCATGTGCAGCAGTGGGAGAGAGAGGAGGAGAGGCGGCAGCAGTTTACTCACACCCGCCACCCCCATACCCTCCCCCTCACTGCTGCACCCGCAGCAGGGGGATGGAGGAGAAGGGGGGGGGCGGGGGCTGGTGCTGCAAATCCCCTCCCCCCATTGCTGCACCCGCAGCAGAGGGATGGAGGAGAAGGGGGGGGCGGGGGGGCTGGTGCTGCAGATCCCCTCCCCCCCACTGCTGCACCCGCAGCAGGGGGATGGAGGAGAAGGGGGGGGGCGGGGGGGGCTGGTGCTGCAGATCCCCTCCCCCCCACTGCTGCACCCGCAGCAGGGGAATGGAGGAGAAAGGGGGGCGGGGGGCTGGTGCTGCAGATCCATTCCGGCCACCCCCTTACCCTCCAAGAGCCCACCACCCCCATACCCCCCCCCCCCCCCCCCCCACTGCTGCACCCGCAGCAGGGGGATGGAGGAGAAGGGGGGGGCGGAGGGGCGTCAGTCGCGGGCGTAGGGGCGTCGGGCGACGGGCCGGGGCGCGTGGGCTAGGGGCGACGGGCCGGGCTAGGAGCAACGGGCCTACGGGCCGTGCTTGGGGCGACGGGCCGGCCTAGGGACGACGGGCCTAGGGGCGAAGGGCCGTGGCAACGGGCCGAGGGCAACGGGCGACAGGCGACGGGCCGGGGCCGGGGCCTAGGGGCGACGGGCCGAGGGCGACGGGCTAGGGGCTGGGGCCTAGGGGCGTCGAGTGACGGGGCCGGGCCTAGGTGAGCGACGGGTGACGGGGCCGACGGGCCTAGGGGCGTGGGGCGACGGGCTGGGCCTAGGGAAGCGACGCGCGACGGGGCCGACGGGCCTAGGGGCGGCAGGCGCGAGCGACGGGCCGGGGGCCGGAGTCTAGGGGCGACGGGTGTAGGGGCGACGCGCGACGGGCGACGGGCCGGGACTGGGGCCTAGGGGCGTCGGGCGCGAGCGACGGGCGACGGGGCCGGGGCCTAGGGGCGACGGGCCGAGGGGCGACGGGCCTAGGGGCGACGGGCGCGAGCGACGGGTCGGGGCCGAGAGCTAGGGGCGACGAGCGCGGGGCGACGGGCCGGGGCCTAGGGGCTACGGGCGACGGGCCGTGCCAAAGGTCGAGAGGAGGGCCGCACGAGGGCGGCGCGCAGGGTAGCAGGTGGTGGGCCCAAGGGTCGTAACGACTCTAATACCATGTCAGAATAGTAGTGTAAGTTAGGGCTAGGGTTTTGGGGCAGGACGAGAATGACGAGAGGAACATGTCGAGAGAGAACAGCCAAAGAGGATTGAATAATTGAGGGCATACAAGATATAGTCAAGGAAATAGGCAAATGGTACACCACTAAGCAGGAAACTAAGATAACAACACTAGGCTCTACTATAGGCATTTATAAATGTATTCGAATACATTTCAACAGTAAGTCAATTAAAAAATAAACCTAGCTGTTCGTAGTTGATCGATGAGTTCGTATGCACGGGGGATGGGATAACATGACTTGATTGTTACCCTGTTCAGTGCACGGTAGTAGATGCA